TAGCTGTACAATATTAAGAAAAATTATCATTAAAAAGTATGGATTATTGTTATATCAAATTAAGAAATAAAATCTTCAATTCATTCGGTAAAGAATAGGTCACATAGAAAAGAAGGTAAATACATTTCTTGCGCACGACTCGCTGCATCCCAGTGACAATCTCATCCAAACAATTTCGTTCTATTTGTTTCCTCTTTTTTTCTCTAATAATATTCGTGGGAGGGGGCGAATAGGAGAAGTTGCTGGAAAGATGAAAAGTTTTTAGAGAAAAAATAAGTTGGCGGAAGTATTGAAGTTCTGTTATTCCTGGAGTAAGTTGCGTTTTTTGGTCTCGGTGGATGATCATTGGGACATGGTTCACGGAACCAAATAAAAATAACAATTTGTACTTATTTAAAGTTTTTACAATTATGTTCTTTTTGAGACTGTTAGCAAAAAGTGTACAATAATACAATTAGTTCTTATTTTTATTGAATTGAACGATAACTTGTTGTAACAACATATCCAATAAAAAGCGGTGGCTACTTAATTCTTCGAAACAATCACATTTTAGAATCCGTGTTCACACGAGTGGAAGCACTTGTTTGCTTTTCAACTGATGAGAAGCAGCTTGTAACCGTTCCCTTTCGGCCTGTTCCGATTTCGAAAGGCGGTTGCAGTTCGATTTAATTGTTCTACAAAACCGGAGCGTGTCCGCTGAACAAACCTAGCCTGATCGAGTTTTGTAGGTTAATAGGTAACACTTCGGCTGACCCGCGCGGGATTATTCTACTTGATCCGGCGCGGCCTCTCTTCCTTTCTCTCTTTCTCTTTTCTTTACCCTTTCCAAGCTTAAAATTTCCATTCCTAAAGAACTACTCGTGTTCTTTCAGCTTTAAGCTGCAGCATATAATTTTTTTAAATGCCATGCTCAAACACGACAAATGTAATTTCTGTAGTATATGATATAATAATAAAAATAATTCATCACTTATTTTAACGCATCTCTAAATGTTTACATAATTTCATTATCCCAGATATATTGCACTATGAATTTAATCGAGGATTCAGTACTAAAAACAAGAATCAGTGAAAATGCAATGGTAAATATAATATTACAACGTCACTGGTCGTTGTAGCGTTAGCGTTAATCTGTTTAAGTTAAAGTGATCACGGGATTCGCACAGGCTTTCCTCCAGCTGGAGTTGTTAACATTTACCCACTTCGTGGCTCGCGTCATCTTTGTTTGTTTTGTCCCGTTCGTTTCACCAGAGAGCTTTTTTTTAGCCGCGATCCATATCGCTGGACGAGTGTGTAACTAGCCACTTGCTTTGTAATTTATCAAATGCTACATCTACTACATTGTTGATTTCTGCTTTCGTCTCTTAATCTCTGCACCACAAACCGGTCTTAATTGAGTCTCATAGAAAAATGGATTTTTAAGTTTTCAAGGTAAAATTTAATAGAAGAATTTATACGTTTTCAATTCGTCTCGTTAGTTTCCCTTCCTTCTTTATATCGCTAAGACGTCTCTATTGTTTCCATACGCAAACAGTCACACCGTTACAGAATGAAATGCCAAAAGCAAAGAAAGTGGCGAAGCTTAACAGCTTAAAACACGATGACCGTGCGTTCATTCCTCTTGTTCTCCATCACCAGTACCTCTCTCCTCTTCTGCGCATTTCTGTTCTTTATGCCTCTTCCCACCCAGCTCGAGGTAGCTTAGGGGTCGATACTTTCATCGCAGTTGGATTCCTAGCCGACGGCTTTCCTCCGCCTTCCTTTTCTCGCCTCGTTTCTAGCTTCGAGAATGAAGGCCACTCACCGCCGGGGCTCCTCTTTTTTTCGCTTTTATCTGTGACCTAGTGCGGGTCCCCACGCGACTGGTTCAAACTAATCGTCGAATTACGTCTTCTTCCTATTCCTCGCGGCCTTCGCTTCGCATATGAGCTTTCTTTCACCGAGACCAATCAAAGTCTCGCAATATTTCATGCGTCTATTTCAGACTGATGCAAATGAGGGAAAAACGAGGATGTAAAAATGTGAATAGTACGTCGATACGGATAAGAAATTGTTCTTACGTCACCGTCTCCTTTGATATCGTGTTTCTAGCGTCTCAATATCGCGTTGAAAAGGAACGAGCGGAGTGTATCAAACGAGCCATTGCGTACCGTATAAATTACTGTTGTCTTTTCTCACTCTGACTCGTTAAATATTGTCTCAGTCTCACGTAAGTAAATTCTCACGCTTCTCGTAACTCGGGATTCCGGTTTCGCGTAATTCTCATCCCTTAATTCATCCCCTGTTACCCGCTGTAGTATGTAGTCAATTTGTACGACGTCCCTCGACGTCGAGTATGGGAAACAGCCATGAAACACTCGACGACTCGTTCGTCAAGAACCTAGTCAAACTTTCCAGTTCTTGCAAATGTGAAAATGTAGACGCTATGTTTATTTGTTTTATTAGCGTTGCAAAATAATTTCATTCTACATTTTTAATTTATCACGTGAAATTCCTAAATTGCGCCACATTGATTTTAAACAACTTGAAGAAGTACTTATTAGGGTTTGATTTCGTTTATATTTTCATGATACTACCGATCTAAGTACACAACTACTGTATTAATTGCCGTAAAGCCTTCACACATGCATTGTTCATAGCCTCTTGAGCTTTAAACTAATAATTTCGCCCCTGGCTACCAACATGTACGGCAAAGAAGATCTGATTTCGCACTTATATGCAAGATACTAGGTCAAAAGACAGAACTCGACAGGTCGGGAAAGAATGGCGAGTAGAACACTGAAAGTCGGGGGCACGATATGAAAGTATCTGTCTAGCCGGAGGCTACCTCATTTGCTATTTATCTCGTTTCTCTTTCCCCTTTGTTATTTCTTCTACGTTTTCCTTTTACCCTATATAAATATACGTGCATATGTGCATACGAGGTACATTACGCGGGTGACACCCAATCGTGCACCGGCTCCTGCGGGTTTCTTTTTTTAACATACATTGTTAGTCGTGTTTATTGATCAACCCAATGGCCTGAAGAGAACTTTATTTAACACTTTCTTTTAAATATTAAATTGGTGCACATGAAACGTCACTCGGTTTTATTTTCCAAATGAAAATTGTTATGAATCAAATAAAACATGGAATAATTTAATCAGAAATAAATTACATACTTCAGAGAAATTTATAATAACGTCATTAAAATTTTATTAGATAACATTGTAATGTAATTATTGACTAATATGATAATTGGAACGTTAATTAGTTTTATACAATTTGTTTATAATTCTATGGAAATATTATTGTACCTAACGCTAACAGAAATTTCGTTTAATTAATGAATCGGAGTTATTTCCTCTTTAATCACCATTAATTAAAATCGATTTCAGAAGGGGGAAATTATTTTCCACATAAAGAATAAGTCCTTATCAGAGATATTCAGGTTCAAAAGATAAGAAGTGGGCTCGTTATGAACTTCATTCATATGACAAGATCAATACAACAGACGACAGAAAATTGTAGCTCTAATCCGTTTATAGTAATTTTCTTAAACACGATTTGCCAACCGTTTTAGTCACGCATAATGGCATTCGACTAGGACAATCCAATTGTCCAGCGATCGCGCGAGTTAAACTTGTTTACGGAACAAACGGCTCCAGCACCTAGCAACGTCCCGTGTAAAACGGTACTATTACATATTCGTTAATACCATTTTGTAGTCGTTGGTTTTAATCGAATAAACTAGCATCCTTCTTTTCATATATGTATATTGCTTCAACGTTTGATGAAGGTATAGAACTATGAAGCCTCTCATTTCTAAGTGTTAGCCAAATTAAAGTGAAGAATATACAGATAATACTTTACTTATATATTAAACAATTTACAAGAACAATATCTTTCGAAATTACTTCTCACCATCGTGAGTAGCGCGACGAAATTGAATGCTACCATCGTACTACGGAATGGTTAGTGTATTTACAGATCGTTAACAGTTGAGATGGGTAAGCTCGCAAAATAGATCAAAAAACGGTAACGGTTACGTAACATAAGACTGTTTGAGGTAATCGCGCGAAGTAAAACGGTACATGTATAGCGGCTTTGAATGACTTCTCGCTCATAATTATTTCGTAGTTTCAGCTTTAGCAAGATTTTAAGTGCAAGCTTGAAATGGAATGGACAAGTATGCATATAGATTCGTGGGCTTCTGTGTCTTGCGCGGTCCGTAACAAATTCAGGACGTCTGTGAAACGATATCGATGTTGGAGTTTGTACATTGGCTACGAACCCTTCCAGGGAAGTTTTTCGCTTGCGAGTTGCACTTACTATAATAATAACACAGCGGATAGAGCGGGTCATGAGCGTCGATCATTTCTTCTTTTACCCGACACGAATCATTACCCTTCCATCAACGAGAATAGTTACCATCGGCCCCTAAACGAGCGTGATTCTTATAATAATAAACATCCCCGCGTTAGAAACGAGTAGGCGAGTTTCGTTCTATTCCAAGCTCGCTTATAAATAATCTTATTAGAAAGAATAAGTATGGCCGTTCGTGGCAATTAATTTTAGCATTTCGATGCCTGTGACTCGATAGCGTAGAAAATTGAATTCAAGTTATAAAATGTGATATCTTCAAGTCACTGGAAATTAAGATTTTATGCATGCATAGAAAATTATGTGAAATATTAAATGGTACGTGCATATAATCATGTTTAAACTATTTAGACAAAAGTTCTTAAATTGATACCGTAAATGTTTTATTTTGCATAAAAATCCGCAGTATACTGATATTATATCTCTTTTGAGTTGCAGATTCACTAAATTTAAAATATTCGAAAACAGTTGTACAATCCCAATTGAAGAAGAATATTTAATCAGTATCATGTCGAAATCATGAAAAATGATAATCAGTGACTTGATGGTAACCCGGTAGCGAAATTAAGTAGATAAACAATAGTACCGACCCTTCGGTGTTTTTCCTCATTAACCTGCATCTCTCTGGTGCTGTTCAGGCAAAGTGGACGAGAAAGCGACACAACTGCACGCGATAGCGTCGCTGAAGGTGCTGTTGGACGCAACGAAGTCGCAAAACGGTGCGGCTACGTCGACCGCCGCCCATTACTCCGGTGGATCGTCGAAAGAGACCACTCTGCAACTGCAGCAGGGTTCGCAGGGTACCACCAGGACCACCACCACGACGACGACCACCGCCGGCACCACAGCCGGCATCCAGGAACTTCCCAACGGCGGTATAGCAACCGGCCTCGACGCGGGACTCGATTCGGTAATTGCTAACATTCGACGAATGCCTACGATCGCCTCCTCCGATTGCGATTCCGAGATTTCCGAACACGTTTCCTTTCAACCCCCCTACCGATCACTCAATATACAGAGTGTGTCACAAAAAATCGTCGTCTACAATGATTCTATTAGACAACCGTTTAAAAACGAATTGCAATTTGTGAAAATGCAAAGTGTATCAATGAGCTACATAAAGTAAAACATCTTCCAATCCTAATGAAACATAAGAACAATCAATTACTCTGTATTGAATCACTTTGAAGAGTGTCTCTTAATGTAATATTTGATAGATAATTTCGTAAAAATGAATTAGTTTATTTCTACTCATATTTGAATTTATTGAGTAGCATATTAATATTATAAATATTCAATGCAGAACTGATTCTCACAGAGCATTACAGATATCATATGTCAGATACAGATTCAGCAGATATACAGCTCAAGATAAAATCATTGAGAAGAGAAGGTTAATTAAGACTTAACGAAGTTTCTTCGTAAAACTTAAGTCTCACTGAGTCGCTAATCGCAAAAATCTCGAACTCTAATACACCAGCCATCCTTTAGAAACCACGATCTGTTAGTCGGAACTGCCGATATCAGCCGCATTTCTAAAACCGTGCCAACTCTCAGAACTGGCAACGTTAGCCGCAATGCTGGCGAAATGTCGCGTCGTCGACTGCGAATTTCCACGTAGACAGGAACCGCCAGAAAGTGCGACTAGTTAGTCCTATGGAACAATGTTCACCGCGATAATGCGGGAATGTTGATGTCACCCTGCTTTCTGGAGGCGGCAGAAACCAACATCGAGATCGACATTTGCGAACGAACCGAAAACAGAGTGCGAGAGAGACAGAGAGAGTTCCGTGGCGTATTTTTCGCGAACACAGGATCGTAATTTAAATTCGTTTCCCGTCACGAATCACGGCTGCCGAGATCCGTTCGTTTTCCGTTTCGTCCTACCCTCCTATACCCGCCCCACGACCCTAAAATAACTGCAGTCACTGTCCGGACCTCAACGAGCAGGCCAATTATCGTCTATCGATCGTATCGAGACGACCAGTCTCGCGAATCAACGAACTGTTTCGACGTCGAATACGAGGTACGAACCTTCACGCCTGTCGTTTCTTGTTCCTCGCGCCAATGCGATCGAGAAAGACACCGGAAAAGCCTGATGCCACTCAAACATTTCGATCGATCACCACTTAGAAAATTTATTTCTTAAATTGCGTTTATCTAACCCACGTACTAAAATCAAAATATTTGTTGTCGACCCTTTCGAACAAGACCAAATGTCGAATGTCGCTCAATCTGGAAACGCAATCACAGTGTCATTGCTCCTTATCTAAAATCCTGTCCATTCTCACGGACGTGGATAAATGCTTGATAATTCGTAAATGGTACGCGATTATTCGATGGGTAAAAATGTACCAAGAGACAGATTATTTTCCAACTAGTCGACCTCCGACAAATGTCCGTCTTCCTCCCCGACCCGACCAGTAGTCGTGGGTAACGAAGACATTTATAGTCGAGGAACATCATGACAATAGGTGGGCGTCAGAGAAATTAGGTCGTTTCGGTATAGGGAGAGAGCTAGTCAGGCCAAGCAATTGCGAAGAGTGGCTTTTCCTCGGAGCGAGACTTTCGTTTTTTTGAACAATTCGCCGTCAATGTCGGCCTCGAGCCTCGTTGCTTTCAACTTAATGTCCTTTGTGGTCGACCTTACGAAGAGACTTCCTGTCCTTTCCACCGGAAAAACATGATCGTTCGGCGAAAGTAACGTCCCGTGAAATAGTGCCGATCCTCGACCTAACGCGTCATTCGGTTTTCCCATTTTCACGGTCGCGTCACATTCGCAGAATTTCAAGTCGATGGTACCATACACTTTTATCATCCCCACCAGTCATCGAAGGATCTCCTCTATTTCATTCACAGTTTCTCTACTTTCAAGTAGTTCCAACCGACTGAACTAAACTAAACACTGAGTAATCCTTAGAAAGTTCCCTTAACATGATAAGTTCCCAAAGTGGTGTAATCGTATTAGAGACACATAAAGTTACATTTTAACTCATAACTAGTAGACTGTGTTCGTAGTACGATAGAAAAACTATAAGTTCGGTAAACTTTTTATTATACTAGACGAATATAAATGTTTTGAATGAATGGCCGCGGTTAAAGTCAGGAAAAAGCCAGACGATTGAAAGCAGTTTTTCCACCGAACCAGAAATTGCTAGCGCACGACGAGCTTCTTCCTAGATATTAGGCTGGGTAGTCCGGGGGTGAGGGCACGCGCGCGACTCTGCAGGGTGGGTATTCTCAAATCTCTTTGTCCTAAATGAGTGAGAAGGCCTTTTCATTTTGAATGCACCGCGAATCTGGGTCAATTCTGGCTACACCCGGCGTCGTCGTTGCGCTACTACACATCGCCTATTTCAGTCCCTCTTTTACCCCCGGGTAATCGAAACAAAGTCACCAACCGATGGCTTTCTCGTTACTCTTCAGTTCGGCGTTTTTTGCCATGATTCCATCTCTCTCTCTCTCTCTCTCTCTCTCTCTCTCTCTCTCTCTCTCTCTCTATCCTTTCAAGATCGCGTATCTCTTTCTGTATCTTATCAACAATCAAGTTAAATAGCTGTTAAAATACTTCAAATCACCAATAAATGTTAAAAGTAATAGATAAGAATTTTAATAAGCAGAATACGAAACATTAAGTTCTATTATTTGATGCTCCTTCTACTAAAAAAACTGACTTTTGGCCAATCACTTCAGCTTGTAAAGACGTAGCGTCAGAATTATCAACGATGCTCTCAGAAAATCGTTTTGTTGCCTATTGTGGTGGAGAATTATTCAGCCAGTAAGGATTACCGCTGGAAAATCCAAACACCTACGAGGCCATTGTGAGCGGTTAATACAAGGGTTGGTTCCGGTTTTGTGCTCTTGCCGTGTGACAGCACGCGGTTTCTAGAGGTCTGTCTCCTTGAGAGCTTTATTGTAATTTGCGGTAATAAGCGTCTATGTTACGGCTCAGGAAAATCTAACAAAATATGAATACTACTTGAAAGTGTTAAGTGTTAGCGACATTTAGAGAACAAGTTCCTCTGGATTATTTTTCCTGAGAGGAGACGATTTGGTGATTGGTTACAGGGAGAGGAGGATGAACGTCCGGAGGCCCTGGACATGGGCTGGCCCAGCAGTCCCAGGAAGAGGCTAACTTATATTCTAGTGGCACCGATTCTGTTCCCTTTGTGGTTAACGTTACCAGACACAAGGACACCAAGGGGTAAGTAGTAAAAAGTATATTTTATCATACTTCCCATATTTGGACATTTTGTTTTATAAATGAGCGTGAGTTGCATTAAACATATAAATCATTTTAATTTTTTAATTGTGTTATAAAAAGATTCCAAACATATAAATCATTTTAATTTTTTAATTATGTTATAAAAAGATACATCGTACAAAAATTCAATTCTTAATCGAACTATTTCGTATGCACAATCGCATCGTACTTTATAACCGAGTTCTCATATTCTTGTCAATTTTAATTAAACGCACTAATTGGAGAGATCTCAGGTAATTGCATTTTGCCGTCGCAAGTATGCTCATGACTCTGAATGAGAATATGCTCCTTTGCTTTAACGGCAGTTGCGCCGCTAAAATGGTTACAATGCTTAGGGAACGTAATCTTTGTAGACAAGTGGTTAGCCGATTTACCCGAGCCGACGAAATCATTGTTTTGGCGTACTTGGAACGGTAATTCAATGAGCGATCCTTCCCCTTTCGCTCGTCATTCTTGTCGCTTCGCTGCTGCTTGGAACAATACACCAAGTATTTCTCAAAAATAGATTCTACGAACCTTCGTTCCGTATAGTTCACCAATGCGACGAACAACCGGAACCGTTTATTTCCGTCCGTCTGTTCAATATTTAAACGCGAATCTTCGATCGCGTCCGTCACCATGCAGGAATATTCCACTGTCTTTTAGAAATACGACTATCAAATTCCGATTGTTCAATTATTAAAATTGGTCGTTTGACTATCGTCTTTTCAAACTTGATCCTAATCTGTTGTCGTTCTTTGCATACCCCACTTTCTAAAAGATATCTGGAAATAGTCAGACTTTTTAATATTGGAGTAAATACGTAAATCTAACACTTAAAATTATAAAGAAGCGTCTCATTATAATCCACTTTTTATCGATCTTTCTGTTCAACCAAAGCAAGGATTCTACTTGAATTTCAACGGTATATTTCAATGTCGCGGACACAGGGTCACCGTCGATGGCTTTAGAATCGAGCGCAATTAAATCAGACTTTAAGATGGACGCGGCTGACTGTACGTAGATACGCGCTTCTCTGTTATTCAAAACGGTTTCCTAGGCCGCTATCAATCACGGGACGTTGGTGCATTATCAGGGCCTATTAACGGTCTGTATTTCAGCGCGACACAATGCCACCCACGAAAGATGATATTGACACGCTAATTTCGAATCGACGACTGATTGTTGCTTCACTCCCTGCCATTCATTCGCCTTTCATTGTTACTGAAAATTGCGACGCGGCCTCGTCGATTACGATTTATACTCATCGATACACTCGGGAAGGACACATCTCTCATTGTCAAGAATTAGTTACCTACCATTGTATTTTATTGTTATGCCATAATCTCCACATCAAGCAATCAGTTAATCCATTTGCATCATTATCGTATATACATAATTCAGAATTTTTTATTTCGTTATACCGACGATTATATGACACATTATGTTAATTACCATATCATTTATTGTAGTAACTATTACATTGGACATTGTGCACGGAACATTTATGTGGAATTATTTTTACTACATATAAACGTATTAGATGATTAATTACAATCTTTTCGCGATGTTACAGTGATAATTAAAAGGGTGTATGCAAAAGTCAATGCTTTTTTTCTGCTAATTATAATTGAACACACATAACTTTCCTGTCGAAGGAAAGGAACTATATGTAGATTTTGCAATTATCTTGATTGAAAGTACTGGCATGACAAAGCCAGTGTCTCTTCCAGCTTTCGCGGAAGCCCAAGTACTTACACTTGCAGATAATTCAAATTCAAAACTCAATTTCCGAGGCAACACTCCTCGAAAAGGAAGAGAAAAGAGAGAAAAAAACGGGAGTTGCCAAATGGAAAGAAAGGAGATTAGATTTAAAAAGAAATCTCCTTTCAAGTTTCAGAACGTTGAAGAGATTTTCTAAAGTTCGCCCCAATTCGTTTGTTTGTTACAGGGAAAAAGTTCTTCGCGGTGACGTTCATCGGTTCAATCTTCTGGATTGCGGGGTATTCGTACCTGATGGTTTGGTGGGCGAATGTAGTCGGCGATACAATTAAGATCCCGCCGGAAGTAATGGGTCTGACGTTCCTCGCCGCCGGAACCAGCATTCCGGATCTGATCACTAGCGTGATCGTCGCACGGAAAGGATTCGGCGACATGGCCGTATCAAGCTCCGTCGGGAGTAACATTTTTGACGTGACCGTTGGGTAAGCACATATTTTTCTCTTGTGTAAATATATATAGGTACATATTTTGAAAAAATATGCTATTTCGTTATCAAAATTTATTTCTATTCTGCATACCGAGAAAACTATCGACGTCAACTTTATTTGCACACAGTTGTCTGATATTAAAAAGTTGTAAGTGATCTTTGAAAAATTAAAAATAGCACACGTAAGCTATCATTTTGCGTGTGTGTACATTATGGTATGAAATAGATTTCCAATTCCACACGGATTTTCTCTTCACCATTTCGAAATTTCCATAGAGAAGGTCTTTTGAGCTGAGTGGAACACGTCTGTTTCATGGGAAATAAACAAGAATTCAATGGAGAATGTATCCACGATCATCCCTGTAATGTTTGTAAATGTGGATATACATCGAACAAATCTATGATTTAATTATCCTAATTATAATTTAAGATTAATTCTTTGATCGATCGAATACAAATGAAGATAAGTTAAAACACTCAAATATATTAATCGTTTCTCCTAATGGACCGAATGAAACTACAAATATTTCAAAATACTCCGTACGTTGAAAGTGTTAGAACCGTAAAAAGGAAGTTTGTTGTTAAAGAGAACAAGAGATCCCTCGAACATCGAGAGCAAGAGTTCCGTTTCCTCTTCGCTCCAATCTGGACGAGATAATTTAGCGGTATTTGTTTTCTCCGCAGTCCGATGTATATAGGTCGTATATGGATTTACGTGGCTCGGTTATAAGCGACCATCGCTTACCATTTATCGAGGTCATCGGTTATGGCAATTTTCACGCGAGACACACAATCTGCCTCCGATATAAAAGCGAAAATCATCATTAATTGTATGAGATATTCGAAAGGAAATCTTCTATCTTCACTTAAATATCTGTAATGTAAAATCAACTCTCTTAAGTATACTAATCAGTAAATTACGAACTTTATACATCTACAGAATGTGCATAAAATAGAACAATATATGTAATGTATAACAACATAAGATAATAAAAAGTGCATGCATATCACAATGCTCAAATGATAAAAAAAAACTTATATTCAAGTCACATTTTTTTAATGTCTTATTTTGCATTAAAACCCGCAGTTTATTAATCAGTAATCATATATTTACTGTAAAGAAAAACATGATCGCATCATCTTGTCCCGAAGAATTTTTCATCTCTAAGGAAACTACATTGAAACTTAATTCAGTATCTTTGTCCTAATATAATTTCGAGGAATTTACATGATATAGAGAATGGCTATCACATTATTTTTTAAAAGGTAATTAATAAGTGTAACGTCATTTTGGGTTTATGTAATCTCTTGTTATCTCTACCAGACCTCGTCCACTATTTTTTCCATGAAATCAAGAACTCTATTAGATGGGTTCGAGTCCTAAGAGGTACAGCGTGAACAATTAGAAGAATTTAATCTCCGCCTCGATCGCTCCAAGCGTTGTTATCCCCATTATCTAAGGGACGAGATAAATTTTTGTTGAAGAGATATCTGAAACATATCACATGTACAGAATGGGGCGTAAATTGTAGTACTACCAGGGGAAATTTTCGTGAAAAAAATAAGACAAAAATTAGATATGTCATTTTTTTCATATGAATTTTTATTTACGAAAATATTAATTTTGTAGTTTAAATAATTGAATACGTATTATAATTTCCGTCTTACCCTGTCTAGAAATAATCAATATTCTAGTCGTCTGTATTCATTACTCCTAGATTCTCTTGAATGAATTACGGACGGACTCGCAGAATACTTGCTCTTAAAGAAATTCAAAATCAAAGAGAATGTACGATTGCTTATGATGCTCGCCAAGAGGAATAGACGCGCGCGTGCACAGTTTGTCCAAATGAAATCTCGACTTTTCCTATCTTCCCGCGTGTTCCGATAACACGCGAAGTTTCAGTAAGACTTTTCTATCGATCGACTACGTAGAAAAAGAGGTGTCTTCGGGAAACGGAAATTGGTCGACGTGGGGAACGATTATTGGTTGAAAAGGAGCTAAAGAAACGGTCGGCTATTGGAAATATCGGAAACGTGTGCACTGGCACAATCTACTTAATTGGATAATATGGACAGCCGGTGTGGAACGGTTTCGATCATACCTGAATTCAATCAAATCGTCCTCTCGCTGTCAATAATGGAACGAGAGAAAGAGAGAGAGAGTTTTTCCATCGTTGCTACTTTATAAAATAACAAGTTTTGCATCAGCTCGTTTAAACTTCAGTGCAGTTCGAGATCGTTTTAAAAAATCTCGGGATGACCTAACGACACGACGCTCTTCAGGAAAAGTCTTGGAAAGTTCCTTCGCGCGACGACAGAAATTATACCAACAGTTACCTAGTTAATAGAACCGACGTAATTACTGGAAACTTTTTATTTACGCAAGCATCTAAGGTATCTTAATGAAGAACATGATGTTATCAAGAAATAAGTAATTCCGTTCGATAAAAGAAACGCGTAGCGATATTTACGTTTTTATGTCCTCCATCTTTCCGAGGGAGGGACATCGTATATTACTAACTGCTGGGAGATAGAAAAATGGAAAAAAGCTGTGAGCTTGCGGTATATTTCAGGTATCCATTATTCCGTGCCAGCTGGAAGACATTTAAATGCGAGGCGATTAAATTATAAAGTTTCGAGAAGCTCGTTAAATCTCAGATATTCTCTCGTAAGTAGAAATAAGAACTTTGGCCAGGTTTCGTGTTCGGCATCTAACTAATAGAAAGCTTATAGATTCGAAATCCCATTCGCAATAAATATTCCGTGTTGACTTTAAAATCCTGACCGCGAAATATTCTTTATCCAAAATACTACGAAAAACATATGAAATATGGGGTTTAGGAGGCACATCTCTAATGACCTTGACCCATTTACCAAGTTTTTAAGATTTTAATTTCTCTTTAAAATATGAACTGATTTATGTAAGGTCTTCTCAATTTATCTAAATTCCATACTCAAATCGTGTACTAAAGTTGCGATCAGCCCCATGAAACAGAAAGTCTCGCGAAATGCATAGCTATAATACATAGAGAAGTTACTTTACTTTGCTACCTAGCATACATACATAAGTATAGTTACTGCCCGCCGCTTTAAAAGTTAGTTATTCAAGGGTACCTTAAACCCCATATTTACCGGAACATGTTTATTAATTGTTTTCCCAACAATAAAGACGTGGTTAGCTTTGGATCTGTTAAAATGCAAAGGATTCAGCAATATTGCGCGAGCGAGGATTCGAACTCATAAATTGGAATCTTGCCGACGATCAAGTAGAGTTGAAAAAGGTAGTACGCGTGGAATTGGTCTTTGCGTCAGCCAGTCCATTGAGGTATCCTCGCTATTTCTCTGTAATAGCGTTTGCCATTCGTTTCTCTCCCTTCTCAGCCACCCTGTATTATTATATTGGCGCGCGGAATAGTAGGAATACCGTGCCAGACGCGACTCATTTCACGACGATGATCCATTGCTGAAGTCTCTTCCTCTGGCAACGAATCCAGCAATATTTTTTCGGTCATGACCCTTCAGATCGAGTTCGCTTCGTTCTCCGTTACGATATTTCCTCGAAGAAAAAAGAACAGGAGAGAACTTCGGTGAGGATGCGAAGCAAGTCGTTAGGAATAATTGAGTTAATTAATTTAATCGCCTTAATGCCAGATGCGAAGATAAATTTCGCCAAGTTACCCTCGAAACTGGAACGATAGCGATCTTTCTACACCACAAAATTCATCGTGTATTCGAGATTAACGCTTATTCACTCCTCATTAAATAAACGCAACAATAAAAATTCGCTATAATGATCCAATTTGCGAATAGCTCCTTACAATTTAGAATTGAAGAATTCGAATTCTTTTATAATCTAACAATTATTTAACGAATGTAATTTCAATTTTTGTAGTTTTCTATATGTACAAAGACAACTAGAATTTGTATATTTAATATTTGGCAAATGAGATGAGTAAATAGTAAACCAAAATGTAGGGGCTGAAGAAGAGGTTTTGAAGGGTTGTAGTATCTGTGGGTATGATGCTGTTAGTGACAGAACCGCACAATCTCTTTCCGGTATCTAATACCTCTCATACGCATGATTTCGCAGCAGAGTCGTTCCGTTCGGCAATCGAGCCGATCGAAGATCGATTCGGTCTAACGCATTACCCGTTGTACCAATGCCAGCTGGCACTTTGCCCGACAAGTCAGAAAAGCCAGACTTGCACCGTTTTGCTTCGTTCGGGGTTCCTTGCATGAACGAAAAAAAGGGTATGTGCGATCCACAATTCCATTCCAAAGATTATGGCTCGAAATAAAGTCAGGGAAAGGAAAGTAATACGAACCGATCGCGAACGTAATTTATCAAATGCCCGCTTGTAACAGTTTTCCCGTCAATACACCCGCCTGTTTGCGGCTCGGAAGGAACTGAGAGTAAACTGACAAGCAAAAAAGAAAAGTCTTTTGCTTTTCGTGTACATTATCTACTTAAACACATATCTATGTATAGATGTACATAGAAGATGTGTTTCGAAATTCTTTTTTTTCCGAACGAACAATCTCGACCAGAGAGACAAAAGGAGGTCACGGGCCACTCGCTCGAAAAATGTTCCCTTTAAAACGTATATATGTATCAGAAGGAAATCGTTCTCAAATATTTTTCAGTGGCCTGGATATCAAAACCGCGCGGAACAGAAAACGCGTTGTGTATTTGAATCGATAATTTTCCAATATACTATAGATACACATGTTAACTTGAAACGTGTATAAAAATTCAGATTCTATCTTTTACCATCGGAAAGAGCATTCTTGATTTTAAGCATATTAAATTATATCGTAAATACGAGAAGTATATCCCTTTCGTCATAGATAAAGATCTACGATATAATTACAAATAAAAGTATCTCTGTTCACTGTAGATCTTTCACACCGAGTTCCAAGTCGTACACGCTCCTAAAGTTTTGAAATTCTGTGCTTTCACATTTTCAACTGTTATATGTATGTTTTAAACGGTATTAATATTCAACCGGATTTTCCGTTTGAAATATGTCCGCAGGCTTCCGCTACCGTGGCTGCTCTTCGGTTTGATCTATGGAAAACCCGTGGAGGTGAATTCGGTGGGCATGGTGTGCAGCATAGCGATCCTGTTCTGCATGCTTCTGTTTGTGATACTGAGTATCGCCAGCTTTAAGTGGCGTATGAACAAGGGCCTCGGGTTCACGATGTTCATCCTATATTTCGTCTTCGTCGCCGTATCGCTGATGTTCGAGTACGGGGTACTCGTATGTCCGGTTTAGGGACGAGGAACCGAAGGAAAAAAGGACAATAGGACGCACATTTACGGGTCTCGTCATCGTGTCATTATCATCGTCGTCGGCGAGTCGCGAACACGGCCGAGATGAGAGATAGACAAGAAGAATCTTCCCTCGGAGCGCCGCGCGTCAATCGGAAGTGGAACGACGGACAACAGCCTTCCCGAGAAAAAAAAAAAAAAGAAACAGCTATCGAAAACTTTTGAAATTGCACCAACAACCCCTTCCCTCGTTACCCCATCCTCGAAAGGTAAAAAACAGAACCTCGTTACCATCCTCCGGTTATTACGAACATAATGGTTGATCAGCTTGGTTACGAAGCATTTTTTGATTATAGTCCAGATATATTACATATTGTATATATTGTATAAACCTTGAAATACCTGAAACAGAATACTCGTCTCGTTAAGGATTCCATGCCGACGTTACGTTCAACGAACGGAACGTCTTTCGTCGCTTTATCTAGGCAGCGAGCGAGTCGGCCGAATGTGCCAACGATCAAGCGAAATTTTATCTAATATAACGTTGTATAATCTTAGGAGAAACAGATCCACCGTCAACAAAAACAGCCCCCCTTTATCCTACCTTTGGGACTTCTAAATATTTCTTGCGCTTCTCGTTATAACTATTCTCTCCTAAACGGTCTAGTTTACATTGGTCGAGTTGGCATGAATAAGCGAATGACTAAAACATAATCCATTTACTCGGCTAATATATGCTAGGCTTTTACCCTTTCCTCTTTCTCTTTACTGTTCCTCCTTTTCTCTACCTTTACTGTTCCTCCTTCTACGATAAATCGCATTCTAAAATATATCGTCTTTTCGCGAAACGTGATCGTCGACGCCACTCGTTAGATTTTCGCACGCCTCGACGTTGTTTAAAACTGAAATACGCTCTCATCGTTTCCACCGAATCATCATCGAGGACCGCACGACTGACAAAACGACGCGACGACATGCGAGATCACGGTTAAACAAACGCATTCAGAGCCACTGATCTACGAATTTGTCTCCGTTTCGAGCCGCGACTTTTTCAAGTGATATTTATTGGAACTGCCAAATCGTCCCGGGATTAAAAAACAATGAATTCGCTACCGGTTGTCAAGTGATAATTTATTATTACCGCGCGAATCGGATCCACGGCTCCCTATCGTTTGTTTAATGATCGTTCGGCACAATTCCGGGCGCGATGATCGGCCCGACCGCTCGCTGATTTCTCTCTTTAAAAACTAAAGAAAATTCATCCTCTTTTCGCCTATAACCCATAGATTCTAGCAACTTTACTCTGACGTGAACGCGGAATCTGGAGCGGAACGCGGTTCCTGGCGTAACAGTTAGAATCAAACTTGTTTCAAATTCGATATGTACTATGTTTTTTACATTCTCCGAAAAAAATTGTCTTTTTAAAAGAATAAGTTGAAAATCGGATATTACAATCAATGCGATTGATTCAGAGCCGCGATCCGAAGTCACACGCCGGAAACGGAAGCACGGTTTCGCATTTGCGAGACGACGGCGATGAAATTATTACCTACAAGAATTTGTTAAAACTTTGTTATATTCGTTGTTAAACATTGTTCTTAAAAGAGAGCTTCCCAAGCGGGCTGTGTAATGTTGAAAGGTCGTCCTCATTCATGCGGAAACGACTGTCCAAATGGGACGACCGCTTCCGGTTCCGTACGTGCTCGGTTTTCAATTTGGATTACTATTAACTATTGAGCAATTAAATCTATGTAAGTGGCATCGGACCTTCCTAAACACTTAGAGAAACTTTATCGAGAGCGCATACTCTTTAGAGTAAACATCGTCCTGGAAGCTGGATCATTCCTTCCGGTTCATTTTTGTTGGACAGTGTCGTCGGAGCCCAAGCGAGAGTGAACGGCATTAATTAACTCTGATTCGAAGGAAATGATTTATACTGTTCACTTTCAATTTTACCTCATTGTTCAAATAACTTGAACCGTTTAAATTTGCCCTCGGTCTTCATCTCTATTGAATGGTAAACAACATTGTTCATTTTGCTCCGAATTTTGTTGAATCAACCAATACCGTTAGAGCAAATTGAATCGCGTTGATTCGCATTCGATGTCGAACACACACAATACTTGGCTACGCATGGCTTGGAGCTTGTCGTACCGATGGCATTCACTCTACGAATGAGCTGCCACACGCCGCTATTCTTTATCTACTGTAGAGGAGTAATGCTAGCTACGTTCGAACACGCGAGATCACGGAACAAGGGGAAAAATCGAATAGCTAACACGATTCAATTCATACTACTTGTGTATTGGGGATAATTATATGCATTTCTTTAGTTTGAAAATTGTCCATTACCTTAGATTCACTGAACGCACTTTGATTCGTGCTTCTGTTAGATTGGTGCTTATGAAATGCTATTTGTTTCTAAGATTTGTATTTTCCATTTACCCTGTTTTGCCTCATCATCTATTATTAGAAGTCATATTGAAAGAAGAAATAAGTATATCAATAAGATGTATACCTGAATTGCGAATTTTTATGTAAAGTAGAATATTTATGGTATCAATTTAAAAAATGTGATTCAGGCAAACGTTTCTTTCATCATTTAAACACTGAAATGCATTCAGTTCTTGATATTCTAAACAGTTTTATACAATTTCAGCTAGCATTTATAATTCTATACATTGAGTTTTATTATACGTGCATTAAAACCGCAGTCTGTTTATAGTGAATGCATTGCGATTCTGGTAGAAGATATTGCATTTTCATTAGCCGGTGCCCTGGTTGAAACACATTCTAAATAATTTGGTAAACGCAGTTTATGTTTGAAATATAATTATCACAAAAATTAATTACAATAAATTGGAGAGCCTGGAACAAATTGTTAGAACCTTGTTAATCTCAAAAAACAAAGTCGAACATTGCAGTTTGTTTAATCTTTATTAAATAGATTTCAACTTTTTTAAACAAAACATTCATCGCATTGCACAATTCTGAAATATCACTTTTAATTATATTACTGATGGACTATATCCAAATGAAATCATCAAATTATGAGCTATGCTCTTTCTGACAATAAATCTCTAATTATATGTGTAATGCAATATTTATATCAATAATAATAAAATTATTCATTTGTTTGTGGAATGTCTAAAGGCAATTGATAAATTATTAAACGCATACTTCGTAGAAACATCTATTATGTTTGAGAAGACCGATATTTCATATGCACCGACCTAATATATTATTTTTTCATCTTGATTACTATCTTTGGCGCGTATTTGGCATTAATCGATTTCTATTTATTCTACTTTGTAGAAATATAAACACGTATAGATAAATCCGTAGCCCAAAACTCCGTGGTCCCGGGTCGAAAGCGATTCACTTAAGCCATTTTTTCGCTGAGCATTCTTTCGAGTTTTTGATGTTACGCAATGATATGCGCTGTGGTGATACCGATTAGACGATGTTGAATAAACTTTAAACTATATCGTTGTTACATGTACACACGAAGAGAAACAGAGGAGTACGAGGGAACGAGCGAGAGAGCGGGAGAGAAAGAGAGACGTGTACAAAGAAAACGAAATTCGTGCGTGAATGGATAGCGAGAATATTAAATATATAGTGAGAGAGGGGGAAAGAGAAATGGAGAAATTTTTAATTGAACTGAACAGGTACTGTATTATATTCATATCCATATATATATATATACATATATATATATACATAAATTGTTTCAAGACGTATGTTCTAAGCGCGTAGATTCTAATAAAAAAATAGCCATAAAGTGATATTGACTAAATTAAGCATACGAAAATCCAAGATTAGTGTAAGCAAGAAAAAAAGCTCGAATAAATTAGGGGACAGCATGCATTTGGAATCGCCTGAACGCCTAACAGCGGCCTAGCTTTTTACTAAAAAAGCACAGGAAAACACACAAAAAAAAATAAATACTGGCACGAAGCTGACGCAGAGAATCAAATCGTAACGAGGAGAGACCAGAATTCACAATAAGGAACGATACGAAAGATGAAAATAAGAAAAAAGAAAAGAATACTCGATTTGGATTCAGATAACAAAAAATTGAAAAACTCGCTTCACGCATACCTAAAAGGTAAACGTTGTCATACTTTTGTATAACACTCTCGATTAAAAAATGAACTTCAACAAGGGGTAATCATCGCGTTCACGGTTCAAGCGGCTTTAACGCTCTTAAGAAAATCACCGTTGTTCAACCCTTTCTTGTCGATGCTATATGTGTCGATCTCACTGTTTCCTGTTGGACTTGAACGGAACTGCGTGTTTCGTTAATCTTCGGATCTCTGGCGTCGAACAAATCATAAACTTCTACCGACTCATGAACAATCGTTGATCCGTGGCGATCAGCTGTGGTCAAATTTTAAAATGATCTTGCACCAACGTTTGGTTGAACAGTGTGATTCATTCAACAAAGTACAGAGCGAAGTATTCAAGAGTGCTTTGTTTAGTATCAATATTCTTGAATAAACTATATTGTTTTAACCAAATGAAATTATGGGCGTCTTTCATTTGAATCGGAAAACAAGAAGCTGATCGTTGCGCCGCGTCTGATTGTCAACCTTATCATCTGCCTATACTACTTGAACGAGGAACCTTCGCGGTCTGTTGGAAAATGTCACACAATCCATGAAAAGTAATGAATCGTTTTCACGGATCGCTTTCTATAAGAGGGACCTTCGATTGGCTGTTTCCTTTGAGACCATTATCTACGATGCACGTGGCACATATGCATCGTACACATAAGACGAGAAAGTAAGTAACATGGAAGAAGAGCGAAAGAAGAGTGAACGCAGCGGATTCTCACGAGACGATTTGACACGATGAGCGAGCAACAAAGTGAGCAACACTTGATTAGAAATAAATTATTGGAGTGAAGGTACCTTTAGTGTGAATTAGTCGATAGGACATAGGGTTTCTTAATAGTTCCGTAATCGATTAACGAGATGCAAGTAGCGAAAGATGCACAATACGATCTTCCCGATGTACCAATCACTGTCCAACAAAACGTTAAAAAGGAGTAACACAAGAAAACACACACACACACACACACACGCCTACACATGCATAAAAACAGATATACAGACACGGAAAACCAGGAAAAAAAAGATGAAACTGAGAAAACGACGGTTTATGCAATTTAGCGTTGTTAGCACTACGCCAAGGAGATTAAAAGATAAAGAATGTATGTATGCGTGTATAAACGAGAGATTATTCTGCGTAGCTTCGATTATTATAAACCCTCACAATAAAACATTTGTTATCATAGCACGTACATACATAAATAGCAGCGTACAGTCCCTTAATCCGAATCGACTCCGGCGAACGAAACACGGGGAATACGAATATTATCATTCGTATAAAACTCGAAACATAGTGAATACGCGCGCAACCAAACGGATTCCACGGTTGATCGAAAAGAAGCGATACGAACTTATGCCAGGCACAGATTAGGCTGAGTAAACGAAACGAAGAAATACAATCCATTGAGCTTCGGACATTTGTTTCTTACGAATTCATCTTGATCATTCATAAGAAAAATAAGGTAACCATTGGGATGCAGAAAAAACGTTCTTGCATTCTCTCTGTGAGTTAAGCCTCTGCCTGCGATCTTATTTTTTATTAACGTCATCTGCATACTGGATCGTTCAAAGTCTAAAAGTAAACGACAGTGAGTGTTCGTGTTTTAAGTTGTACACTGTAATACTATGATACGAATTTTATGATGTCTAGAACGTAAAACAGAAAGATTCATATTTCTTTATGGCGAATATATAATTATGAATTTGCATAATCATTCGCGGTTCAAAAATGCAACAGTGAGTGTTCGTATCCTCAGGGGAAGCGAGAAAACAGATGAATGGGGATTCGCATGATAAGGTGAAGGTCAGTCGAGAGAAATGCTCGAAGCTCGATGGTACTATCGCTCTCGTAATTTGTACTTTATAATACAATCTAGGATAAACATCATCGTTGAGAGTTGAAAGGGGACATCGAGTTACGAATACGATCGTCGGAAGCTCGATGCGACGAAATGCTCGTTATTAAAATTTAGGAATTCAAAAAAGAGAGTATCATTTTTATATATATATTCAAACAAAAAAATAAGAAAATACGAAAAAAACACGTGTGTGGTAGAACGATTATTCGAGTCGGTATATGTATGATATTTTGACGGAAATACTATTGTGAATTGTGTTCAGTCATTGGTTTACTCCACTTTTGTTTTTTCTTTTCGTTGTCTCGTTTTACTAAAGACGCGGTACCAAGACAATAGAGAGAAAAAAAGAGAAGTTCAACAACTAAATATCGTTAGCGTTAAGATGGACACAGAGTAGAGTACTAAAGCATGCGATTGTAATAAAACAGCAAGCATGCTCCAATATGTACAGATTTCGCGAACCGAGCACTCTTCACATTACAAGTAGCATTTGTTCATAATGTAACATTTACCTGAATGCTCATCATAAGCAAATGCTCTAGTCTGTATCCATCTTTAGTTTTCTTTATTACGTAACAACCGCGTGTCTCGTAATTCTGTGTAAATTTTAATTGCATACAATTTTTATCTATTTTTCGTTCTTTCACAATTAAAAAGATACGGAAGGTTTCATTTCGCTAAATGTCAAGCGCGGATCGAATAACGCATAATAAGTCAAGCGACATTTGAAGTAAAAACACGAACGGATGTAAAAATTGTTGAGTCATTTGTTATGCTAATAAAACTAATGTTTGTTCTCCCTATTGGCCGATTGCTCACAATGCGAATATTTATTTCTTATCCGGCCGTTCTGATAATTATTATATTGTTTACACTTTATTAGAAAGAATTGTGTGCCTGAGAACTTAAATGTACATAATAGTATGACTGAGTATCGAGGAAGATTGGGAAAGGAGGAAGGATTGGGAAAGACGTGAATGGAATTTCCGTTGAAATGAAAAAAACAAATACACGTATTCTCTTGGCAATGACAAGGCGCGAACGCACATATCAAAGAGAAAGACGGTAAAACGATTTAATAAAGTAATTGATTACTTAGCGGTATTACTAGATATTTAAAAACGTAAGATACTTAGGAGAAATTAAAGAATATGAAATAAAAAAATATTATGAACACAAGTTGATAAAACGTTACAAAGTTTCTATATGATTAAAGATTTTATTATTATTAAAAATACGTATTATACATAGATATACATATATTATATACATATATATATATATGTATATATATAGGGTGTTCCGTAAAAAGTGTTAGAGCCGAAAATGGCAGAATAGGTCATTCTGAACAACAATTTCCTTTGGCAAAATGTAAAATGGGTCTTGGTTTTTGTTAACAGCGAAAAACACTGACCAATGTGAGCGCACGATCCGCTCGTGCTCACTGATGGACGTCTTGACTCGAGTCATGACGCCCGGCTGTAGCCAGTGAAACAAGTGCTCCGCTTAATACGAAACATTTTAAGAAAATAAAAGATAATAAACTACATAAATATACAATGCAAGGAAATTGTTCGTCCTTTATTGTAGATAAAACTTAATACACTTAATCGTTATTCAAGAGGAGAAAAGAGGAATTTGATAATAACAATCATCCGCATGTGCACTTGTTTCGAAGAAGATGGGTCACGTTCAATGGGTCATCCTGCCGATCCTTGCCGCTCACAGGTAAAATACATGGTCGGCCACAACTGATGACCCATCTTCCTCAGACCAGGCGCACTTGCAGATGAATGGGTAAGTCCAATCTGTACTGTTTTTGCAATTCCTTTAAATTCACTGTTCGCTGCGACTTTTTAATTTCTCATTTATCTTATTAATTTATTTATGTCATTAATTCCTCTTTTCCCCATTCATTCCACTTGAGTAACGATTAAGTGTATTAATTTTTATTCATAATAAAGAACGAACAATTTCCTTGCATTGTTATTCGTCATTTTCTTAAAGCGCTTCGTACTAAGCGGAGCACTTTTTATCTTGGCTATGGCAGGGCGTCACGACTCGAGTCAAGACGTCCGCCAGTGAGCGCGGATGGATAGCGCGCTCTCATTGGTTAGTGTTTTTCGCTAAAAATTCAAAAACCAAGCCTCATTTTACATTTTGCCAAAAGAAATTGTTGTTCAGAATGACCATCTCACTCTGCCATTTCCGGCTCTAATACTTTTTACGCAACACCCTGTATATTGTTTTCGGATCGTAATCGTTGGAGTAATAAGGAGCGCGCGCGCGCTCGCGCGCACACATCTACTCACGCACACCGCACTAAATAATAAATAATGTATTTAATTTATAAGATATGTGTGTGCGCGCGCGTGCAATTGATCTGCACGCGTGCATCGTGTAAAAGCGATGCCACGAGAATTATTAAATATCGATCCGCGGCCTTATCAAATTATCGTTTCTTATGATTAGTTGCGACAACACGACACAAAATCAACAATTACTACGACAACCAAAACGGAACAAACAGCGAGATGTTACTCGCTGATTCGAATAAGGCAAAGACGTACGCGCGCACGCGCGTGCGCTCGCGATTTCACATAATAGAATATATACATACATATAAATATATATATTATAAATAATTCGGTCTCGTTTGTTCCGGTTATTTTTTTTCACGTATATATATACTACATATATATAAATATATATACAATATATATATACACATATATTATATATTTTATGATTGTCGTTGTTGAATTCGTCGCATTACATAGGGTTTTACCCCCGTCCATCGCCGCAAAAGTAGAACACGCAATAGGTACGATACGTTACTAAATTATAAGAAAAATTTGGATTTTGTGAAATGCCAGGCGAGAGAATGAACAAAGAATAATGGAAATCCTGGGTTTGTTGAAGAGACTTAGATGAAAAATGGATATAGGAATATTATAAATAATTAAACTGCTATACATAAATATATACATAACATATTATCTACATGATTATATACATACAAGTTCATATAAATACGTAAAGGTTCTAACGTTGTATACGTCGGGAATGAGAGTCCGAAGATAGGACGATTTTATTACGGTAACGCCTTCTTTCGCTCGTGCGTACGAATATGTGTCATTGTCGTTCCTCTTTTAACTCTTTAGCCACCCTCGAGCGTCCGCGTTTCAAACTATGCACGTTCCTCTGTATGATTCTCATCATTTTTATCGTCATACGATTTTTCATCTCCCCCTGATCTCATAGATCATGGATTAACGATTCGCTTCTGTTTTTATGTTAACGTGCGGTAGACGAACTATTTTGTACGAAATTATCGAATCTTTGACAGTTCGAGATGCGCGGCAAGAAGAAAATTTCTGTTAACGCAGCATTAGTCTTAATTCCAATGTCGATAAAGTATGTCAGAAATTCATGAAGTCGAGGATGGATGGGTGGTGGCAGATTTAAAATTGGAATGCGCAAGGGTCGATTCTGTTTCTCGCGGATATTTAGGGTACATGCGATTAGATGAAACCAGCCTAGTTCGTGTATATATACATAAGACGTATAAAATATAAATATTATAAATTTTACTACGGATTGCAGCGTGCACGTGCAATTTGATCGAGAAACAACGAGGTCTCGATAAGCGTTCGATTTGACGATTTTTGTGATACCCTCGTCGAAATATTATATAAACGGCAAATCGATGCTCTCGATAGATGACCATGCTTTCTGTTTGTCTCATTGTTACGGTGGTAATTTCGTACTTGACGCGCTCCTCGGTTTCGAACGATTGAATGGGGACGCGTCAACTCTCAACAGGGACAAAGACAAATGTTGCACCAACGACCACGTTATTTACACATCACGCAGGATGTTAAACTTAGAGAAGTTTCGGCTTATATAAACTAGAGAAAAATCATACGAGTTTAAACGTTTAACAAGAATTACAAGCAAGAGTTAAGAGAAGAAGAAAAAAATGAAGAAACGAGCACAGTGAAAAAGCTCCGTGAAAAAGAAAAAAAGAATAAAACATAAATGAACATACAACAGCAAGATGTTAAAAAGAAAACGTTATCGCGTTGGAACCGATATCGAACGAGCGTCTAGCATCGATTAAATTACGGTGTCCTCTTTCGCTTTGTCTCGTTGATCCTATAAAATAGAGCTTTCAAATTAAATTTGTAACGGCGCGAATTGTTCTTGTATCGGGTAAGGTATTTCTTCGACGAGAAAAGGGAACAGAGAGGAGACATAATCTCAACCATCGATAAACGATCGATCGCGTAACGGCGCCAATGCGATCGATACTGCGCGCAATAAAATCTGAGTATGTAAACAATATATTAATATCATTATATACAACATTTTTACGGCATATACGAATACGATGTAGAGAAAGCAGATGAAACAAAAGTTTAGGATAATATTACTTGTTGTTGTCTACCATAGCATTGTAGTTATATACAATATAGGTAGAAACATTAATAGGCATGCAAAAGCGAATGAAAGAGAGAACGAATGTATGTATTAAGGAGAACAAGATGAAAATGGAATTAGTAGCGGGAGAAAATAAAGCGTGTGGATGAAACTGAGAGAAAAAGAGAGCGAGGGAAAGAGAGAGAGAGAGAGAGAGAGAGAGAGAGAAGGAAAAAATTGGGTGCACTTGACGAACGTACATGTTGTTATTACATAATAGCAACTATATATATCCACATATATATGTACTGTACATATACTTATGTGTATATATATATATATATACATATACATAATCGAGAAAGCTAGTTAACTTCAAATGCAACAACAAGCAACAGAAGAACAAGAACATCAATGATAGATATTATAATACTGGAATCTATACGTATAAACATTAAAGAGAAAAAACGATTATAAAAAAACGTGTGCCTATGTGCGCACGTGCGTACGCGCGCGTACGTGCGGACACTCGAATTCAGCCTCGAATCCACCCCCCGAATTCAACCAAAGAAGTAACCAGCCTCTTCTTTGCAACCTCTCTCCCTCAGGTCTGACTTCTCAGTCTCATAACTCATAAGTCAGATCCTACTTCTAGCCTTCTTCAACCCCTCTTCAGTTCCTTCGTACATCCCCCAACCGTCTCTGTCTCTCTCTCTCTCTCTCTCTCTCTCTTTCTCTCTGTTTCAATCTGTCTCTTTCTGTCTCTCCCTCTCTATTCTTCTTCACACGCACTTGCGCACATATCCATGACGCATTACCGTAGCCGTGTTGTGTAGGGAATGTCTTTAACGAATAAGATTTCTCATGTTACATGTTATAAGAAACAACCAAAAAAATAACGAAACAACAAAAGTAACTTAAATTATTAAAATAACTTAAAAAAAATATATAAAATAAACGAAACAAATTTCTTCTCTGGTCAGTTGCAGGATCGCTCGAACATTATCGAATCAATAACCCTCTGTGGACGGTTTCGCGTTATGTAAAAAATAAGAGAAAGAAAGAATGAAAGAAAGCGGAGGAGTAAGAAAAGAATGGAAGGCGTGAATACGGCTAACAAGCGAGAATACTATATGCATTGTACACTCTGTAAATTACAGGTTGTCCGTACTAATTAGTACTGTTATCATTATTATTATTATCGCTACAATTATTATGATTATTAAATATTTATTGCTACAGTTACATATGTGTATATATGTATAGCATGTATGTATAGCAGTATGTATTATGTATATACATATAGACACGTATTTTACGCGTGTACGAAGCCGCATTGTTCCTTTAATTCGTGGCTCGACTACTTTTTCTCTCTTTCCACCCAACCCGTTATTCCTACGTCGAAGAAACGAACGGTCGTGCTTTTCTCGTTGCGGGAATGTCCGTAAAGATCGATCACGTTGCTTGAATGAAATAAAAATGCGATCGAAGATATCGGTGGAACGAGCTGACGTGTTCGATCGTTCCTTATTCCTGTAGTATAAAACAATTCTTACGATAAGATGGAACGGTCGCTTGTTTGTTTTCATCATTGTTTGTTTTCACTTTTAAACATGGAGCAATTTTCGATATCCTTTGCGTTTCGTTGTGTTTATCAGGCGACTACAGAAAAATTGCGCCTCTCCATACTTAAAAGGCTTTGAAACCACCCTTCTTCGTCATTTCATCAATACTGAATGATTAAAAAAAGTAAAATTGTAGATTTGTTGTAAGTTCGATTATATGATATCCTGGTCCCAAACTCAATTATAAATTTTCTAGTAATAAAATTTACAGCATCTGTGTTGAACAGGACAAATAAATTTTCAGGCGCGGTCTAATAAATCATCTCGCTACAATACTTATATCTGTAAATTAAATATTGGTAAAAAGATTGGTAACATATGATATATCGGTCGAAAAACAAAAACGTTTGTGCTAAGTATCAGGACAACAGCGATCGAATCGTCAGCACGTAAAAGAGAGAGAGAGAGAGAGAGAGAGAGAGAGAAAGCAAGAGTGTGTGAGAGAAAAAGAAATTGACGAAGGGATGCACGATTCGCGAACAATGGATCGGATATGCGGGTCAACGATGCCAGCCATCGCAACGTTGCGCCCAGTTTTTCCTTACACTTAAGTTCGACCGAGAGTCCTCACGGCACGGCGCACATAGAAAGTCGGGCGGTGGATTATCGATCATTAAACAGAAGCAGGATACATATATGCATTATACCGTACCAAGTACGGTTAGAGCTACTAAATAAATTTAATATATAGAATAAAGAAGGAATGAAAAATAAAAATAAAACCAGTCAGCTGTATTGCGATTAACGGAGCACGAACGAAGAAAGGCCTGCATCGACCATCTTTCCACCACACTTTTAACCCGATTTCCCTCTTCCTTACGAAATAAAAAAAAAGAAGTATAAACAGTTCCCGTTATTCTAATATTCCTGCCTCTCCCTAACCCTCAACCAAAAACAAGACATTAAAACAACATATTGTAATCTACTGTAGATTGTTGTAGATAAATTGTACGGTTTGACCGTACATTGTTACTTTTTGTCGACAATATAAAATACACAGGTATGTAAGTAATTCGCACGTGTTCGAGTTATTTCGTATTCCTATGTGTTGAAGTTCTATGGCAAATGGAAAGTAATATAATAGACCAATTTAACGTTCTTTAAATGATTTTTAATCTTTATCTGTACTATAAAGTAGAAAATTATAGAGGGAAAGGAACATTAAATACAGAAAAGTATTTACAAGTTTTGTTAGCCTAATTTATTCCAAACATCAGTGAGTAATAGATGGCATGCTGGGTGATCCCACTACATCTATTATGTCTGCTTTAACTTCTGGCTCTGTTTTCGGTAACAAGGCGGAAGGTATAGTTAACGTCTGAAAATGTAATGTTAATTAACATTATTTACCAAGAAAATTGGAAATTTTATCTATTTAGAATACATACCTTTCCGGGAGCTAAAGCTTCGTATTGATGCCTCAACGATTGCAATTCGTAATCGCATGTCGATAACGCGCTTCGAAGTTCGTAATGTAAAACGATATCGCTTCTCAATTCGTTAAATTGTTGGCATATTTGTTCGGTAGGTGGTGGATTCAACTCTGTAACGAGATCGCATTGGTATCACATCCTAATAGAAATTAAATAAAATATAAAGCAGATTTGAAAAATACCTATTCGAAGTTCGTTAAGCATTTGTTCGATACCCTTCATTTTCTTTTGTCCTAAGCTGCTTGGTAACTTTATTCGCTGAGACCGAAGTGAAACTCCACTATTTTTGAAATCTGGGAACTTGATCCCAGCAGATTCTACGGTCTGGAAGTTGTCTATTTTAGTACATTGTAATAACTTAACTGTAAAATGATAAAGATGCTACTACGATTATTTACATGCGATGTATCAGTTTTATTTGGTCTATTTCTAGCAGCAGCGCCACTTTTTTTAGCAGGTTTTCGTTCATTTTTCCTTGGATCAGCTTGATGATCAGCGGCAGTTATTAATTTTTGCAAATCTTGTGTCTTCCTATCTCGTTCCTTCTTCCTCTGCTCAATTTTCCTTAATTCAGCTAATAACATTTGCTCCTCTTCCACCTGCTCTGGTGTTCTCTCAAATAATTTTTTAAGCTGTTCTTTCCTACGTTTTTCATGTTCACCATCAAATACGTAAACCTTGTCCGTGTGAGATTTTGCTTTTGTCAAGGCTGCACACACTTGATAATACCTAAGCATTACATATAATTTACAAATAGAAATAAGGCATTATACAGTATATACTTGCCTTTCCTTCAATTCCTCCACAGATCTTGCTGGAAACTTTGTACAATCCCATCTGTCTTTGATTATGATGAACCTTAGATCAAACCTTCTACATAAATCAAATAAATGATCAGTTTCTGCCATTGTCCAACCATTTGTAACCAAATGCTGAACATATTCTGCATTGGTATATGATGGAATAGGAACCTTTTTGTTAAATTTAGCAAAAGGATATTCCTTTCCAGCGTCTGCGACTCGCCGCCAATGATGAAAAACTGCTCCGTCTGTTCTCGCAGGATTAGTGAATGGTGTCCATTTCCATGGTCTAACTTTTTTCATACCAAGCTTAGCTCTAACTTGTTTGTATCCTTTTGCAGTATCAGTTGGAAACAGTGGTGGCACATCAGTGTTATCTTTACACAACAATGCGAATACTTCACGATGCATTCCTTCTGGCCTTTTTGGTACTTTGTATTCATACTTCTTCTGTTTCTTCTTGTCAGTACCCATAATTGACTCTTTGGTAAGTTCACTAGTAGTTGGCACCTCAATATCTAATATATCCCGTACATCTGCCATACTGTCCAACTTTGACAGACTTTTATCTTTCCTGTATTTAGACATTTTAATTTGAGGTTATGGTTATTCAAAATGTTTACTGACCAGATAATGTAGATACGAAATGATCAAATGAAATAAAATTATGAGAGATACAAGAAAAAAATATTCTTGTTTATGTAAATCATATTTTTATTCTGTACGTACATCGTCGATTGCTGTCTTCTTGTTTACAAATCACGAATTAGACAAAACTACTAGAAACTGTGTACTTTCTCAAACACAAAACCAGAGATGATCTCTGGTGAAACTGTCGAAGTCGAAGAGTCGAATTGAGTCGAATGTGGTCGAATGAAATCGAAGTTGAAGTTGAAAGTGCGCCGTGCGGTGATTTAATTATCTGTCAATAGATGGCTCATGAGTTAATTCATCATCGTGTAGTTCTCGTTGGTACTTACTTCCACCAACCGTTCGTATATAAGCAATAAATAAAAGTATGATAAACAGTTGAACAGTGGATTATGAGGGGATAGATTATCGTAGGTCCTATCTTAGGTATCCTTACGGCTGAATTAACCTAATTGTGTAAGTATTATTTCTCCCTAAAAGGTGGTTTTGATCGTGCTCTTGTCCTACATGAAATAAATGTTGGAAGTATTCTCTTAGCTCTACAATGTGTTATAATTTTTGAAGCTGTAAGACATGAAAATTTTAATTTATGTACTGGTTGTGTTACGTACTATTTTACTCGAAAATTACATTACAATTTTTAAGCCAGATAGGCGAAGATGAGGGCGAGAATAGAGTACTCTTAGAGTTTACAAGTTCACAAGTTAATAATATTGATATTTTAGTAAATCAGCTTAGGAAATGGCATTATTTGCATTTTAAAAACTTTGGTATAGGATATGTATATACTTTATGTATAGCAATGTCAATCCAAATAAAAATAATGTAATTCGTTGAAACGTAATTGTGTTATAATTATATTATAGTTAATTATATTAAGTTCAAGGATTTATCTGTAATATTACTAAGTACAGAATCCTTCCCTCACTTTCTGAATTTTCAATTCGCATCTCGTGATCGCACTTTAATGTTACGACCTACGGACAAATACAGACACAATCAACATGGCAGCATATTTAAAAACTCTTTTCCGCTATTGTAATGAATACTGATGTTTCAATATACGTAGCAAAGTAACTGTCGTGTTCACATTTTATAAAATGACATTGCTCGATTAACATACTATCTTTACTAATATTAAGTATGAAGTAATCTATATCTATAAATGCATATAAAATATAACCGGAAGGGCACTATCCACACCGTAACTTATCGGCCATCGCCAACTATTGATTGACCAAGTTTGAATCTTGCAACGGTCGTGTCGGTCGTGTAGGTAAGCCAGTAAGCTCTCGCAATAGCACGTATCGTAGCTGTTGTATATGCAATTGTAATTATGAATTCGTTATTTACTGGATATTCGTTACAAATGTAACTACCGTGTGTAGGTAGATAGATCGAGTTAATCTTTACTACACCCACATCTAACCTTCTGTCTGTTTATATTTATGATCTCCAAGTGTGTTAATTCAATTGTGCTCTTTTTAGTATCGGTTATACACTGATGACAGGATTGCTTAGCTGGTGTTCACAATATCGTATAACAATAAACAACAAACAATAGAAAATGGAGAATGTAAAAGATATATTGGTGTGTGCATCAGAGTTTATAAAAGGTAAAGATAAATTATAGTTTTGCTCGAGTAACTTCAAAATGTAAATAATCTTTCTATCTATATTACAGATCGATTATATTTTGCAACATTAAGGACGACGACAAAGCCAAAGAGCACTTTGAGTACTCATTATTTCAGTATAGACGATGAATTGACCTATCAAAATTTTTATGATGATTTTGGTCCACTAAACCTTGCTATGTTATATCATTATTGTCAAAAAGTTAATAAAAAATTGAAAACGTTAACCTTAAGAAAAAGGAGAATTGTGCATTATACATCTGTGAATCCAGCAAAGAGAGTTAACGCTGCATTTCTTATAGGGAGTTATGCTGTAAGTTTTAATTATGTTAACGAATGCATGATATAATCATAAGAAATTATCCATATTATCTTTTCCAGATATTATACTGTAAATATACGGCAGAAGAAGCCTACAATTGTTTAACCAGTAGTCCCGATAGTCCACCATTTATTATGTTTAGAGATGCTTCTATCTGTTCACCATGGTATGAAATATCTTTAAGTGAATGCCTTAGCGCCATATATAAGTGCCACAGACTTGGATTTTTTAATTTTCAAGACTTTTGCGTTAAAGAATATGAATATTTTGAAAAAGTGGAGAACGGGGATTTGAATTGGATTGTCCCTGGCAAATTCCTAGCATTTTGTGGTCCTTATGCCAAATATAAAGTTGAAAATGGTAAGCCGAACTTGATTATCATTTTCTATTTTTCTTTGTATCACCATACTTATCTTACTTGATTTTACAGGGTATCCATTTCATGCACCAGAATCATATTTTACGTATTTTCGTTACAATAACGTATCTACAATTGTACGCCTGAATAAGAAGATGTATGATGCGTCAACGTTCACAGATGCCGGATTCGATCATAAACACCTGTTTTTTGTCGATGGTTCAACACCTACAGACTCGATCATGCAACAGTTTCTTAAGATAGCAGAAAATGCAAAGGGAGCAATTGCTGTACATTGTAGAGCAGGTCTTGGTAGGACAGGCTCACTAATAGGCTGTTATATCATGAAACATTATCATCTGACAGCTCATGAAACAATCGCGTGGATACGAATATGTAGGCCAGGTTCGGTGATTGGACATCAACAGGAGTGGTTGGAAAAGTGTGCATCACTGCTACAATTCTTATTTTTATATACACATGAAATCTTAATACTCGAACATTGCAAATCTTATGTTTCAGGAAAGAAGCGTATCTTCATTCCTTACTAAAAGAGCCATTGCAATCCAAAGATGGAAATCTTGTACATGAATATGGAATATATTCTATAATTGGTAGATCTAAACCACCTTTCTTGTCCAGTTTGAAAAATTCTCCAACGGAACAAGACAATGTTTTGGGAACAGTGCATCGGGTGGATGGAATTACATTGGATGACCATGCTCCTGCTGCGGGCACTAGTATGACGAAACATACAACTTTATCTCAAGGTGATAGATTGAATCAAATCAAAGCTCAAAGAAAACGTTTACCAACAAATCATGCCTCTTCAAATGCAACTACTGGACCATCAACAACAGTTGTACAGTAAATATCATAGCACAATTTAACTTATTATCAATAATGGACTGGAATAATCAGTGGAAACATTATCCTCCTAGTCGTTACTTAGGACCATTATTAGCAACAAAGGGTCAGAAGAACACAGTCAATACTTTAGCTGCAAACAAAGAAAAAGATCCTACGATGCGGAGGAAAATTCTTCTACCTAGATCTACTACAACAACTATTGCTAAAAGGTTAGTGAACTAACAGCAACTGTCTATTTCTTTCCTTTTCTTCAGAATCATTTTCTCTGCTTCATTAATTGAACTGGCGTTTTAAATGTTGCACGTTGCGAAAATTAAAAAAAAGGAGAAATACGCAAAATCACAATCTATACTAAAACTTGTAGAAACAGCTGGCTGGTCAGCAATGTTAAGTCTACTAAACCAACAGCGCAAATCCATAATATCAACAACAACAATACATCTACTAGTAATCCTGTTACTTCAATGTCTGTATCGAAACCAGTGACAAGGGCGAGTATAAGAACCTCTTGCATCGCGAAAACCCATACCACAAATTCGTCTGCAAATAAATCGGTACCCCAACCACAACGAGGCATGAACATGATTCTCAGGTCTGCAGATCGAGTAAATCGCTATCATACTCTAAGACAGTAAGTCTCCACAACTGTTACACATCAAATTTTATTAAGTAACAGTTGGACAGATTCGATCATGCAGAAAAAAGTTCATTGCTTGCACTTGTTAAATGAGTTTTTGCATTGTGGGAAAGTAAGCTTGTATTCTTTTTGTTGGAACGTCTACGTACAACTCCTTATTATTTTTATTAAAATATATATTATTTTTATTAAAAGTCAATCCATAAATAGAAAACTCATCATCTAAAAAATTCATCACCATTAATTTGCATGCAGCTTAAACATTTTGTCATTGTTAGATGTTGAATGTATATATTAACAAGAGTACATCATTTATGTTTCAAGGAAACAATTTTTAATGAGATAACATTAGATATTTGTCCATAAAAATTATCTATTAAATTGATTCTGAATGTATTTGAAAGCAGTAGATATATCATTATAGAAATATGAATTTCAACTGATATGTTTTGATAAATGCAATTATCGTTCATTATTTGAAGCTAAACAAATTGAAATTAAAGCTTAGATCTCAAGTAGCACTTCAGATTGCTAACAAACCGCTCCTGTTTCTTTCTGTGACTTGCAGTGTCCGTACGACCAAAAGTTATAAACCTGCACTTATCAGATGACTAACCGATATTCTCAATGGCATTGGAGCATCTCGGCGGAAGATAAAAACTTCTTATTGATCTCCAATATCCAACTCGAACAATTATTGCTTTTATTACTATCAACGAAGATCAAGTAGATCTACCAGCTGTTACTGCAGCTTATTCAAGGTAGTTATTTTACGTTTTACCATTTGTAACGTTGGGTTATAAGTTTCTGATAAAACCTATTTGTTCCATAAGTCGATTCTAAACCAGTGCTTCCACATCTTGCGACACGTTTAATGCTCGCAGAAGAAAATAATGTGATTTGTTAGTCCACTACATTATCTTTCTGCTGGCTAGAGGAATAGCATTAAACATGATTAAGAGTCAATCTCCAATCTGAACAAATTTATTATTTCTTGATCTTTTTCATTAAAAAAATGCTTGTGTTGTATTATATTATACTATTTCCACAGTAATAATTGGTTGATGTAAAAATCACTTAGATTTTTTCACTCAATTAAATTGTACTATACTATGAAACACGCAAATTTTGTTACATGAGATCATCAACATTGATTTTTTTTCATTTTTTTCATGTGGAATCATTATTAAATTATTACTTTTATCACGTTAAACAGAGAAAATAATAGAGCAGATAGAAGCTTAAAACCCAATATGCATTCTTACTTACAATTATGTGATTAACAATATTTTTTGTCTTCATATAAGAGGGATAACAGCTATTAACGAACACATAATTCTTGGTCATATATCTGCTATATCAATATAGAACTATAAGAAGAATTATGTACTATATACATTTTTAAATTTTGAAATGGAGTATTAATTCCTAATTATAAACTTTATATAAGCACAATTTTATAGAGACTTGTTCTTGTGCTAATCATATTAAGTATAGATATATTCTTCTTCAATGAGAAATTGCAGTCGCGTTGCAATATTGATTAACTAACAAATAGTACTTGTGTGAGTACTACGTAAGAAAATTATGTAATTGTACAATCCTGCTCTCATTTGTAGTAATTTCAACTGTGTCTTCAGATTATTTTATCTCTCATCACAGAATATCCGAATACTGTTTACTATAATTTTCATCTATTACCTTATAGTATTTTTGCTGAACACATATCAACAAATGTTATTAGACAGAGATGATTTTTTATAAATGTTTGTCACCGCGTTTTATCGCAAAAAGAAGAATTCATTCTTAATAAGTAAAAATAACAA